ATCGTATGTTAATTGTTATAATACAGTAATAGTATAAACTCATGTATAACTTACTACCTATAACTTTAATCATGGTTAATAATATACAGAAAAAAACAATTAAATATGACCCACCAATGACTGTATTTTGTTTAAGCTTTTTTGTCACTTTTTTATTCCATAGTATTTTATGTTGTTTCAAACTTCATACTTATCATCAAATATTTATTTTGATTTGATAAATTGATTATAATTCAAAATAATCTAGTTGACTATATAGACTACTAGAGCACTTACAAGAGATAAGACCATTTACCACTCACCACTTGTGCTCACCAGATTACCAGACACCACCAATCGAAAATCATCGTTCTTCATCACTTTCATATCCACTAACTACTTCTTAGATAATAGATAACACTCACCAATTGATTACTTTAGTCGATACTTATTACTCAGTAATTGGTTCTTAGTACTTGTAACTTGCCAGTGTAAAATAATTAAAGTATGATGTTCGATGTTTTATGTAAACATTACTAAATTATAATCATTTTTTTCCTGTAACCTGTTCATAAAGTACATCTTAAATTAAAGATAATAGTTTCTAAATTCAATTGTTACTGTGTATTATTTTGACGAGTTTGAATAATTGTTGTTTCATGTCTAATAATAATGTAAGCAACATTACAATAATTAAAAAGTGTTAGAATTCACACAATCTTAATCTATGTTTGCTATTGAGATGGAATTAATGTTTAATAATCCTCTTTGAAATGTCAAAAAAAAAAAAATAATTACTTACATATGCAGCTTGCCATTTTTCACAAAAACTTTTAAACAAGAATCAAATTTCAAGGATGAACGTATTTCCAACAGTTAATGTAAATGTAAGTCAGGTAATATTAGAATATTTTTAATAGTTATAACATAAAATATTTTAATAAAAGTTAATACTCAACTGAAGTTTAAATAATGGGTTTCTTATGCTTACTAAATAAATTTTTTTCTTTTTAGAAAACTACATAATTTTAAAGAACACAAATCATAATATAATGTTTACAACCTATCTGACTACAGTAATTGTTTTGACGGAAGAAAATTTGCTTCATAAAGAAGCATTAAGAACTAATTGCTATTGAACAAGGTATGCAATTGTTAAATTATTTATTTAATGTAAAATAAGTTACAATTATTAATACTCTATACTATGATAGCTTTATTCCAGTCAATAGTAATTCTACCAATTTGTTATAATATATTAATTAAAAAAACACAGAATTAATGAAAATTTAAATACAACAATATTTTAAAGTATTAACAAATTCAATTTCATATATTTTGATAGTAATTAAATGAATTCATCCTAAATCGTAAATAATGTAACTTCTTATTTTTAATGACAAACATAAAATATACTTATAAAAATAACTTTAAATAATAATGTGATAATACCTATATGAATAAAAAAGGTATATTTATAGTATTTATAATTTGTTCTTTTTAGATTAAACAATTATGACAATATATAAAATACATTTAAAAATATTAAATTTTATAAATTTGATTAATTGTTTGAATTTAAAATGTTCCCATTAAATGTACAAACCTTTAAATAATTTTAACAAATTTATCTGTTTTATTGATATCCTTATTTTCTCATCAAACACATTTTTCTTGCATATAATTTGACCATAGATATTTAATATGTAATAAATAATATTAGTACTTAAAAATATTTATATCTAATTAATATTGTTTTTTTTTTTAAGAAGAAGAAGAAGAAACTTATTTTTATAAGTATCATTGTTCAGCTAAAAGTTTACCAACCAACTACACTGTGTAAAGAAAGTTGTAGACTAAAAATTTCTTTAAAATTGGCTGCGCCATTTGATAGGATCAGGTTTGTTATTTTATTTATTTATTATTGGTTTTAAGTGATTGACTACATTAAATACTGACTGGGATAGGATTGTTTAATTTTTTTAAATAAACTAGTATATATTTAATAACGATATATTTTGTACAAAACAGTAAATTAAATAATCAGATTTCACAACAGAAAAAAATAATATTTGAAGTTTTATCTTTTACAATCTGTTTGTTAAAGATTTAATTTATTCATCTTTTAAAGTGGTTTAAATTAAATGTTTTTTTTATTAAATTTAACAGTGTTAAATTTTATTACAGCATTTATATAAATTGCTTTTAAACTTACTTATTGAATAAAATCACGATAGTATTATTTTATTTTGTACATAATTTATTCAAAAATTAATGGAATAATACATAACAGTTTGTTTTAATTATTTAAATAAATGTATTATTTACATGGTTTATACTAGAAAATAGTGCAAAAAAATATTTTATTTTTCATAACAAGATTGTGGTAATTGTTTAATTTATACAACTAATGTCATGTACATTCTGGAATTTTCAAACATGCACCTGAATATTTAATAATAATTATAAGCTAATAGATCGTTTGTATATAATTAATATAAATTACAAGGTTAAAGAAATTTTGACTGATATTATTAAAAAATAAACAATAAATGTCTTACAATATTTCATTGTGTATATTATACATAAGGTTTTCTAAATTTAATGACTAGGATGATTGAAATTTATTAATATTTACATGATCCACATAATTTTTGCCATAAAAAATTGTAAAGACCCTACTATATTTAGAAATTAATTTAAGATTAATCATTTGTTATTAAAGTTCTCAGAATTTCAGAACCCAGTTGTTTTAATTCAGAAAGTATAAAAATTTAATATTTTAGAAATCTCTAGTTTTTTTACTATGAAATTTGTACATCTTGGTCATTGTTCAATAACAACAAAATTACCATCCCTAAAATTTAAAAATTTGGTCTGGTTTTCGTAAAAGTATTATCATTACATGTTATATTTTTAATTCATTAAAAAAAAAAAAATGTTTTGGATCTATTATTTGAAAACTAAGACTAAATAATAGATAAAACTATAACTGTTTTCAAAGCTTATTTAATTTAAACATATTATTTGTTGATTACATAAAGTACAATATTTAATAATTTTGTTTGTGAGAGTGTAATATAATTATTAGCTTTTTTCTTGTTTCATAAGATTATTAAACCATTTTCACATTCTTTACATGTACATATTTGTAATGGCTCCTGTATGTATAATAATGTATTTAAAATTAGATAAATTATAAAAATATAAGATTATGCTAAAAGATCAACTATCTATCAAAATATTAGTATGCTATTGTATTTATTAAACTTAATTTTAAGTTTTAAATTAAAAATAATAATTAATTGCATTTTGTTAATATAAATAACTATCATACTAAAACATATTACATAAAATCCAACAAAATCATTCATAGTTATTTATTACATATGTCATTAACTTTAATTTATAAATAATGTTTAACTAGAAGCATTGAAAAAATCTATTTAGTTTCCTTGTATAAATATTGTTTTTGAATTATATATTTAATAGAATTACTGTATTATTATTATTTTATATACACTGTTTCAATACAAAACTATAATTTATATTTATGAAAAAAATATTATACATTGTACATTACTATGTGTACACTCTGTATTGAATATTTATTTTAAATTTAAATAAAAAATAAAAATATCCTATTTAAGCTAAACCTATTAATTATGAAATAGATCATTATATAATTGAAACAAATAATTGTGATTCTATTTTTATGACTTTTGAAAAAAATAATATTAAGTTTTTCAAATAAGTAACTTATAAGTTATGCAATAAAATTCATTTAAATATTAAGAATTAGTTTTTTTTTTTTTTGAGATAAAAAATCGGTATATAAATTGCATTCTTAACATTTAAATTTTTGAGTTAATAATAATATATTTTTTTAATATTCTAAGTTTATTTTGTTTGTATTATGCTCTTCACATTTGGTAACATTTAATTATACATAAATCAAGAATTGCACAGGATTTAAAATATTTTGTATACATAGCATATTAGTATACACAAGTAATATAATTTCCTGCAACTTGCAAGGTACTTAATTTTCAACAAATCAGGTCCATTCATTTAAAAATAAATTATTAATTATTAGTTTTAGTTTTGCCCTCATTATAGTCGTCATTTTTACCGAATTATGTTCATTTAATTGATCATATGTCAATTTTCAGTACCTAATAATTAATAAATAATCATTTATTCAATTTTTTTTACATTAACATCGAAAATCAGACTATATGCCTAAATAGAAAATACACGAGATGATTAACAAAAGATATTTTTAAGCAAACTTTGGATCCCGTTATATCTTGAACTTTTAGTATGAACATGAAAAAAATGTCAAATTTTTGAAAATTGTCCCGCTCTCTTCCCCATACCTCTTAACTACCTTCCCAGGCTGTGGGTCTCGGTGCAACACAAAAATATATTCACCCCCCACCTAAACATTTCTGGGCGCGCCATCGCTTTTCTACGCATACATAAAATACAGGGGCCAAGTACCATACATAAATCAGGTTGGCCAACCTAAGCGTATGACTTGAGAACATAGACTTCTCCCTTCTCCCCTCCCAATCTTGCTTTACGTTCTATATAATAATAATAATTATAATGTGGTATAGAACGTTCCGCCATCATTATATCGACTAACGAGGCCGTTTATCTTTTTTTTCATTTCACACTAGATATTAATTTTCATTAGAAAATTGATGATTCAATAGCATTATGCTTTTTGGTATACACACGTTTTTTATGATTTTTTTAGTTGAATTTTCTTCTATTATAACCATCGTTGATGTATTTTGTTTATTTTTGGGAGCAAACATTTTTTAAAATTATTTCTGTCCAATAGTATTTAGTTACGATCGATATAATATTATATAGATAAAGTACGAGATTATGACAAGTTGATTTTGTATGCTCATTCAAAGGTAAAGGCACGCGTGTCGCAACTAAAGTACTGTAACCCTCCTAGCTGAATACCGATACCGGCTACCGGGTGTTTAGTGACTAGTGGCGTTACGGCGGTTTCGGCGTCCGTGGCGGAAATAATTTTCAATATTTCCGATGCGCGGGTTTTCCTTCTGTCCCGACATACGCTGTGTTCGCTGCAGCTCTCTGCCGCTGCCTCGTTCTCTCGGCTGTACAGTACGTTCCCGGTCGGTTCTCCGCCACTTCCTTTTTCCTGCACTACGTCATAGAATTTCGTGATCACGTGACCGGCAGCGCCATCTTGCTTGATTTTGGTATTTTTGTTGGCTCCCTGTTGGTAATGCTCAGATCGCTCGACTCAACTACTCACTATTTTATACGGCGGGCTACGTTACATATATCTATATTATATACCAGTGTACTACAACTACTACAACTACCAAAAAGGCTTTCCCCCAGTTTGTGTGACGTGTGGCTTTGTGTTTGTGTGCGTATGTACTTGTAATAACGTCTTGCGCCCATTAGGACTGACGCATTGCCATTAATCTGCCGTTGTGAAGTTAAAGGTTTTTTATTATTATTTATATTATATAGAAGTACCTCTTAAGTGGTATTGTATTTTTTTTAATTTTTTTTTTACCGTTTCCGAGATAGTGCTTATTGTTATTAACATAGGTTCGCGAAAATGATTTCCGCGACCATCGATCCGTACGCGCGCGTTAATTCGAAAACAAAAATGTGATCCGAATTATGAAAAGTACATGAAGCGAACAGCAGTGCGTCGTCATCGGTCCTCTCGCCGCTGCGGCCTCGTTCGTGCGGCGCGTAAACAACTCCGCCGGATAACAGCCGCCACACGGAGGGCCGCTTTACCCCTACGTTGTTTTGATATTTAATACCTCTCCTACATCGATCGATCAGCGATCGTATTAAAACGTGAGTGTTGGTGTACATATTATTACAACACACAGGTACGCGTATCGTCGTCGTTTCTTTTTGTATTCGACTTGCGCGTTTCTAGAATTTTATTACGTTTGTGCTTGGTGAAGTTTTCGTTTTCGTCTTAAAGTCTCGCACTTTGTTGTAAAATCGTGATTATGAAGATAATGACTAAGAAATATTGCTGTTTGCCGACGACGTCGTTCGAAAACATCGATACCACGTACCTTGTGTAACAATAATATAGGTACCAAGTTGTGGTGAGTCGTACTGAATAATTCTGTTTGTTGGCATCATATCGGTCGTTTTCTAAAGCGGCGGTGTTAGGTTAGGTTTTCAGCTTCCGTTCATTCTTATACAATGATTATTATTTTTATTTATAATCAAAAGAATCTTATCAACGCGCTGTGAACAACACGTCTATTCTGGATTGAGCACAATTAATTATAATAAACATTATTCGAGTATCAATTGTACAGCCGATTACATAATTTTTTCAAAAATGTTTCAATCGAATGATGGAATGTTTATTCTATGCTCGAAGTTCTGCTCGATTTAGATGAGTTAAGGCGTTTTAATAGCAATTTTTCCTACTGATTTGACTATAAACGATTTAGGTCAATAATATTTATCAAACGCACTCTCCCAATAGGTTTAAGTAGAACATTTTTTCTCAGACGTCGAATTTGTTATTCGTTTTTTAATGCTATTTGCAGGACTAGTAAATTTTTTCGATTTTTTAACAAATAATATTAAATTGTTTGTTTTTTGTCTGTTATTTAGTGAGAATAAATTGAACAATAACATTAAACAATTTGAATACGGTTTAAAAAAATTGATTTCTAAACAATTTTTTTATAAGTTCCTATATTTAAAATATTTAGTGTTGAATATTGAATTTGTTTTATCAATAATATTATATGGATGCATAATTTCCTTGTCCATATTAATTTAAACTAAGTATATAAATATCAATTTCATTTATCATGATTTTTGATAAAATGAATTATTAATACCTTATAATATGGTTTAAAATTTTGTAAAGATTATTGAATTGTAAGCTTCTAATTAGCTAAATTTGAAAGTATGTGTACTTATTCTATCATGATATAAAATTTAAAATTAAATAAATAGCAATAACTATTATCTAATGTTGCTATAGTCCAATAATAAAATATCTCATTGATGAATTTCACTAATAAGAATTTTTAATTTTATCATACAAATTATTAATATGTCATTTTTTTAGGATTTGGGGATTAACACTATTTTAAATGCATTTAGGTACCATTTACTATTTTAAATTTTTAATATTTCCATTTATTTTCAGATTCGTTTTCATTACATTAACTACTCAATGCAATGGCAGACACAGAAATTGAACAGATAAATGAAAATGATTTAAGTAAATAATTTTTATTCTTAAAAAAATTTAATTTTTTTTATATCTTATACCTTGATAATTAATTTTTTAAATTAAATATTCTAATAGTTACAATTTAAATAAAAACAATAGAGCGTTCTAAACTTATATTTTTTAAGATTAAAATAATTAATTTTTTTTTATAGGCGTTAAATTAAATGGTAGTATTCATGCCAATACTGAACAACTTAAACAGTCAATTGAATCACGAAAAA